CCTCGTGCCAGGNGTGTCTCTAACCATCGGTTACGGTCATCCCGAGGTCCCCAGCCAGGGAGCTTAACGGGACCTATGTGACCCAGTTTCCTGGTCATACCCTCGTGCCAGGTCTTAGCTTGACCACCCTTGGCTTTTTACCACCCACTACCTGCGTCGGCGAACATCGATCGCCGTGGCAACCTATTTGATGACATGCGTAACACAAGTCCCAACCAACGTAATCTATGGAGGTCGACCACTTGCTCCAGTGGGCGACCGCGGTTACCCAAAACTTTGCGCCTGACCTCAGCATTGCTCGTCCGGCTGCCCCACCAGATCCGTACAATGCTGCGTAGACAGCGGTGTTCAACCACCGACATTCTTTCTTCATCCTGTTTTCTTAATGGTCAAGTTTCTGCGCCGTACAGCAGAACTGGTCGGACTGCTGCAGCATACACTCGATCCTTCACAGACAGCCTGATGCCGCGACGGCGCCACAGATGTCTCAAGTTGGCAAATGCCTGAGGTGAATCGTTGCTCGTCCGGGTCTTCAAGAAGGGGTCGCGCAAGGACTGCGCAAACCACTGCGGGACTAGTTTACAGCCAATAATCACATAAGTGTTGACTTCTGTGATACCTTGCCGCCTGATATCCTTTGGAGAAATAAATATCCACGAACAACAGGCTGGATTCCGACCAAGTCGCCGTTGCATCGACGAAATCTTCACTCTGTATCAAGTCCTCGAACTACGTCGCATACGTCGTCGGGCAACAAACGCAGTGTTCCTCGATCTAAAAGGAGCCTTCGATTCGATTGCCCGTGAAGCTCTTCTGGGTTCGCTGCTTCGCAAAAGAATGTCGCGGAAGTATGTGCACCTATTGCGGTCGCAGTACCTGCATACTTCTAGTAGCGTACGGGTCTAAGGTGGTCTAAGTAAATCGTTCGAAACCAGGAACGGTGTTCGTCAAGAGTGCCCTATTTGGCCATTCCTGTTCAGTTTCGCCGTAGATGAAATACTGGAAAACGCACTCAGTGGTCTCCAAAACGTAAGCATTGAATGGGTAGCTGGAGAAAAGCTCTGCGATTTAGAGTACGCTGATGACATCGTTTGCCTGTTCGAATATAAGGAAGATGCGCAATGCCCTTGACAGACGAGCAAGTTCTGTAACTCCTTTCGGCATGAGGTTTGCACCTTCAAAGTGCAAAGTGATGCCACAAGACTGGGTGTCGTCTATCCCAGCGCTGATGCTTGATGGTCAAGAATTAGCTGTAATGGAATGTTTCACCTACTTAGGTAGCTGCGCTTCAAATGACGTTAGCATAGCCAGCAAAGTAACCACCCACATTTCCTAGTCTCAAGCAGCTCACGCAGGACTGAAACACCTTTGGCGCAGACGCGATGTTTCGTTTAAACTGAAAGGTCGTGTATATTGCACCAGTGTGCGGTCAGTTCTGCTCTATGGTTGCGAGACCGTAAATTTGCTTGTGGAAGATATTCGTCTAGAAGTCTTCGACCGCCGACGTTTACGTAGTTTGGCGCGGGTTGGACGGAGCGTTCGTGTTTGCAAATGTGAGGTAGGGCGTCGCGTATCTGGTAATGATTCAATGGAGAATTATTTGTCTCATCGAATTCAGATTAGTCGACTTCGCTGTTTAGGACACGCATTGCGCATGCACAGTCATCGTCTAACGCACCACGCCTTATTCGCAGTTGCGGCTTTAGGTTGGAAGAAAGCGCGTGGAGGTCAACAAGTGACGTGGAAACGAGCCATGAAGAAATGCACAGAGCGATTAGGTAGAATCAGTATCTCCCGTTTTCCAGGTTGGGGTCCAAAAGACTGCAACCGGCTGGTTGGAGATACTGAAGGATATGGCGACTAACCGACAACAGTGGCGTTCTTGTCATTTCTCATCAGGTCCGAATGCCTGAAAAGGTAGGTATGCGCACTTAGATTGTGTACCCTGTGTGTTGACCATAGAGGTTTACTTTCTTTTCCGTCCTACAATTAGGCACCATCCCTCTTCATCTTGTGATTTCTCACTTGATTTGTGTACATTGAGTTTGGCAGCGATCAAGGAATTTTACTTTCTTGTCTTGCTGTACGATGATGATGATGATGATAATGAATCGCTCTGTACATTTCTTCATGCCTCGTCTCCACGTCATGTGTTGACCTTCGCGTGGTTTCCTCCAGCCTGGAGCGGCTATAGAGAGTAAAGCGCGGTGCAGCAAACGACAGCTGGGTATACGCAATACATGCCCTAGCTAGCGAAACCTAA